TTTATTTCATTATCTGTGAAGGCTTTCGCTTAAACTTACGGACTTTGTGCCTTTAAACTGGTCATCAGGGAAAATTTTGAAAAATCATTTGAAGGGCTTATGTGAAGGAACACTGTAAATTTTTATAACTTACTAAGTAATGAAAATTTGTAGAAAATTATGAATTTCTCCTAATTTATTTTCTATTTTTGTGGCTTATAAAATTAACATTTGGTGTTTTACATTGCAATAAAAGTGTTTTTTTTGCTTGCTGAATTTAAAATTATATATTAGTAGTACCATCAGAGGGCAGTGATGTACTATTACACAGTATCAGATTCAGCTCTAAAGATCTTTGTAGAAACAGAATGAATTAAACTAAGAATCTGGATGGGCTATACTGAGTAGTAATATATTTGTCCAAATTTCACAGGTGTTTTTATTCTTTTATATTTATTAAAGAATGATCATAAGATTTGTACAGATGTGAAATTGCCAATGCAAATGTGAATGTATTGAAATAGAAACATGTAGGTACTGTATTTTAAAAGGTCTACTTTAAACATAAAAATACTATGAGGTAATTCTATGGGATTCAGAGTCATAAATTTTTCAGATTTGTGTTTATTAGTAACATGAGTTTATAGCATTTTTGTTTTTTGAGTTTTTCTTTCTAGTATATAATAAGCTAAAATAGAAGAATTGCTGTATCTTTTAATTTGGTTGCTCTTTTGGATGACAGGGCCACAATCTGAGTCCTAAATTAGAATTCATACATAGCAAGTGCCAATAGGGATTATAAATTAAATAGACCAGCTCACTTGATTTACAAAAAGAAAAGCCATTATTGTGCTCATCCCTCCCATAAGACTTACATCATATAGCAGTATATTGTATATGTTAATTTTAAAGAGTTGAAGTCTCAATTCTTGTTTGGAAAAATTACTTTTTTCTATTATGGTATAGAATAGTTTATGAATATCCAGTCAAGACATACATTTAGACAGGCTCAATTTTCTTCATCCTTTAGAAGATTAGTGGTATTTTTGTTCACAAAGGATAGTGAAATCATTAAATTGTATTATAGAAATAAAATTCTTCACTTTATGAACATGATTAATTTTTCCAAGGCAGAAAGGAAGAAAGATCCTCAATAGCTGAATAGATATAGAACCAGAGCATATTATCCTTGAACTGTGCAAATCCTTTCTTCTGCTTTAATATAGAAAGAACAATTTTATCTGTACTACATCTTAAGAATTACAGCTTGGGTTGGTGTAAACAAAGGTTTATATCCAGGGGATAATGCCCTATTTCTAATGGAGTTTAAATCCAAATACCATGCTTATTTACTATTGAACCATGAATGATATGTTGGTGTATTGCCTTCTGGGAACAATGGGATATGCTGCTCCAGACAGTCATGCATGGCCTGCCTCCATGGGTATAATCAGCTTTCCCCAAAACCACATGGGATGCATGGGCTAAGTGATAATACTAAAATGTTAAGAATAGTTTTAGGAAGGAGAAGGGAAAAGAGGAGGTGAGATGCTTGGTAAGAAACTATTAAGTGACTACTTAAAAAAAAAATTATACATATACATCCAAGCATCTCCCTCATCAAGTTATGAATCAGTTCCTGATGGAAACCTTAACTTGGAACCAATTTCCCATAAATCATAATTTAAATAGGAAAATATGGTGTAATGCTTAATACGTCACCCAAGCCCTCCAACAAATTACTAAAATATAACTGAAACAGTAAAATACATATTTGTTAACTATCATATTAAGATGTAAAATGCTAAAACTACTGCTTCTTAATTCTAATCATCAAACTAACATGACTGGTAACAAAAAGTTGTATATTATCACACAGCCCCTTTGTTGACATGCTGCATGTTTTTTTAAAACATCTATATGTGCTGCTATGGTTCCACCGATTGTATTTGGAATGTAATTAAATAGTTTTCACACACATGGTTTGTTATAAATCTGTATTCCCTTATGTGGACACAAATATACATTTTTCCTATATAAAAATTGACTTTGGCCGTCTCTTTAACAAAATTTTATCTTCACTATGTATTAAATAATTAGAACTTGGGTGAATGGTTAGGGAAACCATGATACTTTCATCTCTTTGGGATGAATGAGAACAACAGAGCTAAAGGCTGTTGGTATGATCATATAATCCCTGAATTTATAGCAAGGCATGCTGCTTTTTCTATACTCAAAAGGAGGAATGATATTGTTAGTGTCCTGTTTTCATAGAGAGATAGAAAAATAGGTTCTAGCTATCATCCTTGGTACCCCAGGAGAACTGACGTCAGCTTTGAATTTTCCTTTTCTCCTCCAACAGTTCAACTTGTTTATCTTCACTAAGAATTATCCTGTGCCCTTAGAAGAAAAAGTAACTTGTCAGTTTTAGTTTCAAATAATATCTGCATAAATAGGTCAGTAAGACAGGTAGGTAGATAGGCATCCCTATCTGTGTTGACATTTAAGGTGTGCGGTGTTTTTTTAACAGTTTCAAACAAGCATCTCAAATTCCCATGATCACCACATGTGCTTTAAGTTGATTCAAATGTGGCTCATAGCCATTTTCTTTGACTTTCTCAAAAGCCACTAAGAAGGCATTTGTGTATTTCACAGACTTTGAACAAGTTTTGGGTTGATTCAGAGAAATTTGTTTCAACAACTCAAACAGTTTAACTTTCTCATATGACATAACTTTTTATTATCCTGTTCTCCTTATTCTAGATATGTTTCATCTCGCAAATATTGCCTCTAAATATGATTATTAATTGTCTGAGAACTGAATATTCATAAATTACTTGACCTGGATATGACACTTTATTATATCCCTGATTGTATTGCCTATTTTTATAGCACCATACTTAAGTTTCAAATTAATGTCCTCTAGTCACAGACACGTTTGAGCCCACTTTTGCACTTTCAACATTTTCAAACATACCTCAAATGGAACGGATTAATTTTGCACACAGACTGACTCTTTCTAGGCTATTTTTCTGAAATCCGTTTTGTCACATAAATCAGAAGTCAAGTTATCCTAACTTCTTACTCTACCTAATTCCTAAGGTGCTCTTTTCTTATTCTATGTTTCTCAGATAGCTAGGTTATAAGTAACAGACATACTTAAAGTAGGTTAAAAAAATTCCACGCATCTCATGTAGACATTCTTAAGTATCTACACACAAATCTGTAGAACTAATGAGTTTGGAAAGGTTCCAGAATACTAAATATATGAAAATGTCATTTCTATTTCTATATGCAAGTAATAAATAATCTTAAAATTAAGCTATGGTGAGCGCTGTGAATTGTGCAAGACTGTTGAATCACAGATCTGTACCTCTGAAACAAATAATACATTATATGTTAAAAAAAAAAGGGGAAGAATGAAGGGGGGGAGATCGGAGGGGGAGACAAACCATGAGAGACGAGAGACTCTGAGAAACAAACTGAGGGTTCTAGAGGGGAGGGGGGTGGGAGGATGGGTTAGCCTGGTGATGGGTATTAAAGAGGGCACGTTCTGCATGGAGCACTGGGTGTTATACGCAAACAATGAATCATGGAACACTACATCAAAAACTAATGATGTAATGTATGGTGATTAACATAATAATTAAAAACAAAACAAAATAATTTCAATGATAGTATCACATAGAATAAAATACTTAGGAAAAAGGAAGTAAAACTTCTGAACTAAAACCTACAAAGCACAGTTGAGAAGTTAAAAAAAAATCTAAATGGTTGGGACCATTGCATGTTTATGGCAAAAGGTATTTTGCAAATGTGATTCAGTTAATGCCCTTAAAATGGGGGAGATTATATTGTATTATCTAGGTGGACCCAATCTAATCACATGGATCCTTAAAAGCAGAAAAATCTTTCCAACCTGTGGTTCCAAAGAGATGTGAATAAAGAAGTATCATTGAGGTACTGTATTGCTGGCTTTGAAGATAGAGGAAGGACATGAGCCAAGGAAATCAGGCAGCCTCTAGAAAGCAGAAAAAGCAAAGAAACGGATTCTCTCCTAGGCTCCTCAGAAGAGATCACAGCCCTGCTTACATCTTGATTTTAGCCCAGTGAAACCATCTCAAATTTCTCACCTATGAATCGATAACAATAAATTTGTGTTGTTTAAGCCACTAAGTTTCTGGTAATTTGGTACATTAGCATAGAAAACACAATAGATGAAGGGATTAATATTTTTGTTAACCTATACATTTTTTTTAAAAGATTTTATTTGAGAGAGAGAGTACATGAGAGGGGGGAAGGTCAGAGGGAGAAGCAGACTCCCCGCTGAGCAGGGAGTCCGATGCGGGACTCGATCCTGGGACTCCAGGATCATGACCTGAGCCGAAGGCAGTCGCTTAACCAACTGAGCCACCCAGGCGCCCATAACCTATACATTTTTAAACTAAATTAATGACATTTTAATTATTAAAGACATAGATATGTTTATGGAAAAATGTAAGCACAGGAGAAAGTTTTGATGAAAACTTTGCGGATACAGAGAAATTCAATGCTAATATTAATTTAAGTAACATAAAAATCAAATCACTCAATGTATTTTAAAAGATATTACAATTATTAATGTTCCAAGGTGATTTTATTTCTGACAAAACTTTAAATTTTTCCCCAGAATGATTCTCACCACTTCCAGCACCACCAAATTATACAATGCCTGTTGTTTAAAAACTTCACAAATAACAGGTGTGTACTTTGACTAAATCAGTTCAGTGACAAACTGAGATACTTCCTCCCCGACTTTCTGGAGCCAGAAAGGTGGATTTGGGGTTGTTGTTAAAAAATAAGGAAATGACAAATTAACTCTGCCTCTATTTATGATACCCAGGCTAGCACTTGAGGGATTTACCTATGATAATATCTAGATTTTCTGTTGAGGTGAACAAACCATGCCATCACCCAGCTGCTCAAAGTGAAGAAGCACTAGCTAACCCTAATTTGACCCTTCCTAGAACTCTCAGGGAAAGTTGCCATTTGAAGATGATCTTTATCTGAGAATGAAGCATTGATATAGAGACAGATAATATTTTTTAATTTATCTTTTTAATTCTTGAATCAGTGAGGACAATAGTTTGCTGTTTATGGGTACAAAACAGCCCTGTCCTAGGTATACAAGGGTATATGTAAGTCTGTAACATCATCGGCTACAGTGAATTTACTTTACTAGACAGCATAGCAAAGTAGGATTAACTAAAGATATATTTTCATATGAAAATGCTTTAAAATAACATGAAGTCAATGAACATTTGTACAATTTCCTCTGTCAAAATATAAATGTATGTCAGCTTATGTGTGTGAATTATACTAAGTCAGTCTCAACACAGCCATGTGCTAAGGAATGTGTGAAACACTTCATGAGCAATTCTCTAAGGGGTGTACTGAAAACTTCCAAAAGTACCCCAGATATTTGGTCATAGATAAGGAATAAACTTTAAGGCAATCTTCCAAGCGAATGTAAACTTTTCTGAAGTGGCCTTTCCAGTAAAGCATTGTTGTGAATGCTCTGTACTTATTTATAGTGCTGTTGAATATTTTTTAGTAGCACATTATCACACTAATTGTCACTTTTTAAAAAAATTAGCTTAAAAATCCTGCAATTATAAAAGTGTCTGGGGTGCTTTTTGTAGACATAAGGCAGGCACTTCCTGTTGACTGATGGTAGAAATCCTAAATATTTTCTTCTAAGAGCAGTTTTTATCTCTAGCTAGAATTGTATTTCTAATAATGTACTAAATACTGTGTTCACATATTGAGAAATAACAATTTGCCTACACTTTTTCTAATTTAGATCTGAGTTTAGAATTTCTTTTAATTGGTCATTTTCTACAGAAGCATCAAAATAAATAGTGCTACTCTCTGAACGCTTTTCAATGATAACGACATTTTTCTGTCTGTCAACACCTTTTTCCAAAGTAATTTTCAGAGCATGTGAACTAAACTGGCTACACTGGAGAAGTGGGTACAGGCCATTATGAAAGTCCCCTTGTAGCGACCAACTACTTTCATTTAATCTCCTTCTTAGCCTTATAATTGGCAGAGACCACCAGGTAATTATCCGGATTCATGTCCTTAAGGGTTGGAGATTTGCTCTGGATGGGGGATGTTTTGCCATCCACACGGGAGATCTGCAGCATCCGGCAGGGGTCGTGTTTCAACAAATACCCTGCAAACGTTTCCCATCCTCCTCCCACACGGACCATGACATGTTTGTTATGCAGCATCTGAAATGAAAGAAGAGCAAAAGGATTACATTCTGTGAATTCTTACAGTATCTCAAATCAACCTTCATTTCTAGCCCTGTTACTGTTTTTTGTCTCTTGTTTTTCATGCCCCATTGTTTTCCTACTTGGCGCACAGTGTCTGAGTTAGCATATAGTTTGTGAAAGAAGCTTTGTCTCTCCCATGCAAGTGGATCACGGGTACACATCCCCAGGATTCAGCTTCACCCTGCTATTGGAATCCGGATCTATGTATAATCCCTTGTTTGGTTGAATGTGTCTGGAAGCTTCTCTCTGATGTTCCGTTATGGCCTCATCATTGCCCCCATTTTCTGCCCACTGCCTCAGATAAATGTTCCATTATTCACACCAAGTTATTCCCCTCTGAACCAGGACTCAAAAGACCATGGAAATGTCTGCCATTGAATATAATGTGAATAATCACACAAATACTCAATACGAAATAGAATGGAAATGCACTCAAAAAAATTGAAGTCTTCCCCAGTCACTGAGCCCTTCAAGGCCAGATGTTGTTGAATGGCCAAACGTTTATGTTTCCCTTTACTCTTATTTTTTCTAATTAAGAAAATAACTTACCTTCAGGCCTATGGGCCATGTAGAGTTCCAGATTAACAAGGCTACAGATTTAAAAAGTGAAGAATATATGGTTCTTTTTATCTAGTAAAAACATGTCAGAGCTGTAGAGGTTTGGCATGGAGAGCCAAAGAATTTGATCTTGGCTTTTTTCAAATATCAGAAAATGTAAGGTTAAGGGGAGATGTTGCTCCATCATCAAAGACCCTGCCGACTCTGTTCCCTGCCCACAATATTATGAATCCACATTGGCACTGTAATCTTGGGAAGGACATATAGTGGTGTGAGGGGATTTGGGGAGTCATTTTCACCAAATCTATTTGAATTTCTCTTGCTGTGTCATTTTAAGATCTGGAGGTTTGTTTTTTGTTTTGCTTTGTTTTGAATTATGTTATGTTAATCATCATACATTACATCATTAGTTTTTGATGTAGTGTTCCATGATTCATTGTTTGTGCATAACACCCATGGAGGTTTTTTTTTTTTTTTTTTTAACTCCCATCAAGTGGAAGATGATTTGTGCTTACTGCTTTCATTTACCTGTTGAGAATCTGTTGGAAATTCTGGACTTTTTTCGAATGCCTGTATCTACGAAATTTTGCATGTGTGTTTAGTGGTTTCACAGACTCCCAGAAATACATCCATGGACTCAAGTTAAATCCTGATGCATGTGGTTGATGTGAAGCAGTTTCAGATGTTGTGCAAAGTAACAAAAATGTGCTGGACATCAATAAAAACCAAGACTCGTGAAGAAATTGGAAGTTAAATTTTACTGGTTATTCTCATTTCAAGAATAAAAATTATAATTAGAAAGAATTAGAATAGAAAGGACCTTCAGAAACATCTAACCAGAAGTTTTTAGACTTATTTTGGCATCAGAATCTACTCAAAATCTCAGCGGGAACCCCTGTCATAAAGCAGGCAAAAGGAGTCAGGATTCAGCTGTAACTATTTTGCCTCCCCTGGTTCTGCCAACAGTACCGTGATCTTGTTTTTCAGATGAAGATCCCAAGGCCCAGATCTTTGGTGTGATTTGCTGAGACTAGTACCCAGATTTCCTGACTCCAGTCTAATACTTGTCCCACAACAGTTCTTTGTAAAGCAAAATCCATCAAGGCTTTTGATGATTTGACCTATTTCCATCCCCACAAGCTCCTGTGTGTGCCTCTACGGCTTGCTTCTAAAACTTGAGGTTACTGGGACAAAAATTGCAAAGGCTGGCATCCAAACAGTACTCTGACCCTTTCTCCCTCTGTTCTAGAAAACAGCTTTGCCTCTTGTTGATGTTCTGGCACATCCTAGCTCTGTAAATTACATTTAAGAGTTGCCTCTAAACATCCTAGCTATGAATGCCTGGCAGAGTGCCCAAATTCACTTGACTATGAGCAGGCTATTTCAACCAGAAGGAACCACCAGTCAGTACAGTTTTTAGACAATTCGTTAACTCTGGAAAACAGTGGAAGAAATGTTTTTCTGCCTGGCATATACGATCATTCAGGTACAAACTCTTCCTGCAGATTCTTTAATGAATCCACGCATGGGAAGTGGATCCAGCATGAAACAGAATAACATGGGAAATTAAATTTCTGCCCACCTTCTCTTCCATATCCTTTCAATAGTGAATCAGCAACCTATAATTTGCTAAGAAGGTCAGTGGTCAAACTGAACAACAGTTTCAAGCATGGGATTAAGATTTCATGGCCATAAGCATTTACATCCTCGGTTGTAGAGATTTAAATTCCATGCCTTATCTTAGTATGTGCTAAGTCTCAAGAAAAAAAATAGTAACACCCATCCCCATCTCCATAAACTAAACCCCTACTGTTGAACCTAAAAGAAAATTAACCTGCTATAAACCACACTACTCTCAACTCTACCCTCCCTCCCCCCACAGTGCTTGCCCTACAAAACCCCAGCCTTGGATTAAGTGTATAATCTTCTAAATCACAGTACAGAAGCTGAGCTCCCGCTGGAAGAATTCTTTTCATCTCAGGGATTAGTGACATTAGGCCAATTGCCCTAATGGATCGATTATGATCCTTTTGGTTTTGGTCAGTTCCATTTCCTGCTTCTCCCTATTCTCGAACACACTACTCATCTCTGTCCTCCTCATTCAGCTGTTGGCTTCATCATCATCAAGCATGGCTTTCTCTCTTAGCATCTCCACTGGCTAATTTACTCCAATCTATATTTATCCGTTTCTCCAGTTTCTTCATCACAGAAAGAAGTCCTTCATCCAAAGTCAGCTCCTCCCCATATGTCCTAATTCCCATTACCATCATGTAGAAGTTCCTGCATCAAACATCACATCTCGCTTCTCTCTCTCTGCAACTTATTGTACAATAGTCCTTTTCCTTCGGGGGATAAACATACCCAAGCCTCTCTCACTCTTGTCCAAAGCAGAACTCTGCTCCTTCCATCCCAGGCTTCTTTGTTCTCACACCTTTTCCTTACATCTGAGCTTTCTGGTAAGCTTACACGTGATGTCTTCGCTTCCCACTTTCTATTCGCTGTCCAGCCCACTACACATTGCTTCTGCCCCCACCTGTTAACTGACTACACATTGAAGGGAATCAGATGGCTTCTAGAATTGTCAAATCCAGTGGAGGGTCATTAATCCTTGTCTTTCTTGATCACTCAAGTAAGGCATCCGATAGTCCTGACCACTCCTTCCGTGAGACTCCCCACTCCTTTATTCCCTCCGACAAGACTCTCTCCTGGACTTCTTCCTCCTTCCCTCCTTGTACTTCCTCTGCCTCTATTTCTTCTGCTTACTTTTAAGCTTTGCTGTTGCAAATGATTCTGAAGGATTCTGTCCTTTCTCCACTGCTTTTCTCACTCTGACCACTGCTGTATCTGGAACCCAGCAGCTTTCTCTACTATCTGCTTTAGTCTCTCAAATTCTAGTTCTGGCCCTTGCCTCTTCCCTGAGCTTCCAAATGCGAGGGCAGAACCAGTCTACCACCTTCCCCCTTCAACTAGAAGTCTCCACAGGCCTTTCCTAAAAGAGTCAGTAGGATCAACATTCTCTGTAACTAGTCAGACACCAAAAACATTCATTTCTCCCCAGAATGATTCTCAGGGTCTATGTTATTGTTGCTGCCATTCATTTCAGCACCTCAACTTTTTCCGTGGGCCACTGTAAGGATCTCACTGCCTCTAGCCTGTCTGAGTCTGATCCATTTAGCAAATCCATTCCCACCAAAGGGAATTCCATAAATGCCTGTTTGTCTCCTGCCTAAATGCCTTCACTAGCTCCCTCTCCTCTATAGGCTAATATTCACTTCCCTTTATTTGCATACATTATTCACCAAGACCACTCCTGCCAGCCTCACCCGCCCTTCCTTGAGCTCTGGGACCCATGAATTATTTTAGTTCTGTGTTCCCAGATAACACAGCCTTTCTTTCATGCTTTTGCATGTTTGCCCCTAAATGTAGAGTGTATTTTCTGCTTTGCCCTCCCTACTTACCAGGACCACAAACATTAATTCAAACATCACCTCTGCCTGAAAAATTCTCCATGATCACCTTCCTTACCAGATAAGTGAATGCTTCCTTGCGGTATGCTGTTTAGATTACACGTGATTTCATTGTTTCACTCAGTCTACTGTAATTGCCAATTTACCTGCCTGCCTCTTTTAATAACATGTGAGCTCTCTTAAGAGAGTGATGATAGATTTCTCCTTTCTTAAATCTCCCATATGCGAGCTCAGAGCAGTATCAATAATATAATCGTATTAATACTCTTTCTTGTGTATATTTCCACAGGCTCTACCTAACTTTGCTTAACTGATGATGTCATTTTCAGCATTACTCCATTTTATAGATGGGAAAACTGATGCTTTTAGAAGAACTGATGCCCTTAAGCAACCTGTGGCACAAATCAATGGAAGAACTGAACAAGAATCATTTTTTTTCCCATTAGGCCACACCCACTGATTCTGTAAAACTCTTAGACTTGGATTTTCATATCTGCTTAGTTGCTTACTAGTGAAATTTAGCACAGGCAAGGAACTATCAATGTCAGAAACAGTAATAAGCAGCTTAAGCAAATTAAATGCCCATGTAAAATGATTTATGGTGCTATGTTCTAATAAACCCCATATACACATCAAATTTCATTTCAGAAGATTATCTTGTAGTGGTCCCAATTACTTCAGAAATAAACATGTGTCAAGTGCAGGTAATAGGACAGAATATATTTATAGCCAGATAGCTGTCGGTCTAAGTAGGACTAGGCTTTGATTCTCTGTTCAGTTACAGTGCCTTTATTTTTAATGCTTCACAATACTGAACAATTTTGTGTTCTCCATTCCAAAAGATAACTCATCTTGACTGGTAGCATCCATGCACATGGCATCTGAGTATTTAGTATTGGTTTTTTTGTGCTGTTGTTTGGTGCATTTCTT